AACTCCAAAATGCTTGCAAAGGGAGTGTCTAGTATTTGGTTAATTAATAACCTTTCTTTGTTCTGTAACACTGGAGGAAAGGGCACACACATTTTATGGGCAGTAAACATCCCTTCTTTTTTAGGCACTTCTAAAGTTCTACTATACAGGGCAAGAAAAAAAAGTGATGATCTGGAAATAGTTAATGAGTACGTGGGAGCAACTACAGAGCAGGCATACAGGCAGTACCTGAGTTACAAACAACTCATAGTTAAGAACAGCGGTGAGACAACAGAAAGTGAGAAAAATCTACCCCTCGGAAGGGAATCACTCCTGAAAGAGTTATCATGGGGGAAATGTGTCTCAACTGAAGCTTTATCACCAACAAGCCAAATTTTTCAAAATCCAATTATCACAGGGACAGAAAATGAAGTGAAATCTTCTGAACAGAAAAACAAACACAACAGGGGTGTTAACCCTTCCCTGTGCTATCCAAAACAAGCTATCTATCCATCTATCTATATACCGGGCTGGAGTTACACTTAAAATTTACATGTTCTGTTCTGACTTACATGCAAATTCAACTTGAAAACAAACCTACTGAACTTATCTTATTCGTAACTTGGGGGATGTCTGTAAGTATGGAAATGGTAGGGTGAATCCTCTCTTTTGCCAAGAAACTCAGAATGGAATGAATTAGTCTACCATCCAAGTTATAGCAAGATATCTATCGGCTTAAATTCAGATGTAGATATAGACTAAGTATAGATAGAACTATAGAAGTGAACTGTTCATTTTCCTTAAAAATGAAGAAAGCTGTAGGGTGTCAAGTGCAGTTTTATGTACTATTATTCTAACTACTATTCTAACAACTATTAACTAGTATAGAGGCCATATCCTAAAATCTGGTCAGCAAAGCTGAAACAAATTTATGCAAACAAAATAGAGTTTTTTCAGCACAACGCTCATGTTGCGTTGTGAAATTGTTTCAGACCATTGCAAAGCCTGCAAGCTCTAAATTTAACACCCAAACTATCCTTATTTTAAGAATAATGATGGTTGCGGGGGGAGGAGATATGAATGGCAGATATACAAGACAATTCTTCGCTCACAGTTTGTCCCCATCTATTTACTATTGACAGACAACCTTCTGTGCCTTATATCATTTTCTCCTAGAAAACATTAGACACCACCACCCAGTTCTGGGTTTTGCTGTAACTCAATAGCTATTTTCAAAGACTATTTTTTTTTAATTTAGAGAAGGCGGGGCTTCCAACTTAAAGGAAATGCAGCAAGTTCTATTCACTGTTCTAAGAATTTCAATAAAGAGTTAATGACATTTGGGGCCTATGTAGCTGCCCTCATCTCACCTTTTCCACAACTCATTTTGAGATCTATTTTGGTTCAAGTAGAAGACTGCCAACTAAAATAATTTAGAGCAGAAAGAGTTATTTCAGTTGAATGCAGCACAAGTAGCTTCAACCTCTTTTACAGAAAGGGTACTCTATAACAGTTTTAAGCAATAGACTTTCTTTCTTTCTTCCATATATCCATCCATTAAGCAATATTTGCCCTCACTGCCAATGTTTCCAGAAATTATGTAACACTCTTTACCTCTGCAGCACAGGAGAAGGGGAGCCACACATTGCCAATTTAAAAGAGGCCAATGGCTGGAACTTATCTTTTTTCATCTATTTCTATTCACACTTCTAAACACCAGGATCTCCCCCTTTCAAATTCTGGGATAATTCTAACAGGAAAAAGCTCTAGACCTCAATAATTCTGCAAAGCTGACTTTCACACAGAGGTTTTTCAGCGTCAGAAACATTCCAATTAATGTTACTTTATGATGGACACAAAAAACACTCTATAACATAACTTTCTTGTAACGTAAATCTTTAGGATGTACAATTCACTATACCAAACACTGTTCTGTATGTCAGAAAACCAGTCACTTTTGCTGAACAAAACCTAGTGTTTAAGATGCTTTATTTTTTTTTTCCTGACAGGGACTGTAGAAGCCAATTACATACAATTCCATTGATATGAAAACTCATTCAAAATACACATTCACCTTCAGATTCAATAATACACATTCACCTTTGGACAATATATGCTACTGCCTGTCTTCATGAAAACTTCTTGCCTCAAAACTGCCAAATGACACCATGATGTTTAGAGCCAAGATCTTCAAAAATAGCCATGACAAAGTTATTGTACTTAATACCAATTAGATAATTTGGATGGTAGGGAAAAATAAAAACCTGTGATATGAAGTAAGTCAAAATTGTATTGCCTTTTCACTAAGAAATTATTTGATACTGCTAATTTGTAGTATCATATTCTCTCAAACTAATGTGGTAGCCATACTCTGTGTACACAAACCCATGGAATGTCTCTTAAATAAATAACTGTTATTTGAGAAAGCTGATCTATTATTTATTCATTTAAATAATATCAGCACCAAAAATAGGTTCCTGCCTCTGCAAAGTTATCCATTTGTGGGATAAGCACAGCTCTTCTAGGAGCCAATATTTACATGTTTATGGAGAAATACTCTGTATTAATATACATTTCTGTTTTCCTAATCTGAGAATATTCCAAAATAATAATAAAAAACCATATAATATCTGAAAATTTAAATCTTGCATTATTCCATTTTCCCACGTCATAAAATACTTCCAACAGGAAAGAAAAGCAACCTGCGTTGGATTTGATGTTGTAACTCTAAACACCAACCCCTGCCTTCCAGATTAAGGAGAACCACACCTGATGTCAACAATTTACATTCTGCATTAAGGAGTAACTAGAACTTGCTATCTCTAAAAGTTTTTAAATTTTTAAATTGTGTATGAATATTTATGATAAAAATCATGATGTATGAGGATAGGCAATGCAGCCGCTAAGGCTGTAAACTTTGGGGGGGGGGGGGATCAGAGGAAGGATACTCCTGCATACCATCATCCCCATTTTCTGCTGCCCCCCTCCATTGCTTTATTTATAACCCACCTTGCTTCCAGGCTGGAACTCAAGGTGACTTGCAAAAATATAGAATACAATAAAGCATATATAATTTAAAAACATAGAAAATAAATTAAAATCTTAATCTGACACAAATTAAAAACAAGACAACATCATAAATGTCCTATTTGTTAACATCAATTTCTGAAAGTTTCAAAATGAAAGCTCTTAATCTGTCACTAAAAGGAAAACAAAGAAAGAAACCTTCTCACATTCCTGATCAGGAAATTCCAAAGCGAAGTGTGGAAGCAAACACAGAGAAAGCTGAATGGACAGAGAGCAGTGCATCCCCTGTGGATATTAGAGCTGGAGTAGGCTCATAAAGGAAGATTCAATTCTTCAAATAACTTGGGCCTGAAAACTATAGGGTTTTTTATTCCGTGGTTGGTTACCACTACGTATCTAAACCTGTGCAAAAAATGACAATGTGGGGGAAGATACACTTTTGATGGCCTCCATGGTTGAAGGCCAGAAGGGGCCATGTGGAGATGCACAGCATCCTGATACTACATGTAATGGACCCATAGGCTATTTAATGCCTTGGCCACTCACTCTCATGCCTTTGTTGGTTTTTGGAGTGCAGCCCACCCTCCCGCTCTCAGTGCAGCGTAGGTTTTATTGGTTGATTTGGGGCCAGTTAGGATTTTCTCCCTTTCATTTTTTTTCCTTTTTGCCTTCCCTATACTGTATCTAGGAGACTGAGATGATCAGTGTTGGGGGTGGTGTCTATAAATAGGCTAGCAATGACAAGTCACAGGAGAAGAATTTATACTACAGTATTTTGCTTTTTTATTTTGAATCTCAACAAATTCCTTCAACATAACTATGCATTTTCAGCACTCTAGTGGATTTATTAATCACCCCAAAAGTAATGCCTGCACTATTATCTTGTTGAATGTTTCTAATAACGAGGACAATAGGCATCCTAGTTTAGTTCTTTTCTGTATCTTACATGGATTAGACAACTCTCTTTTTATTATAATTCAGGCAGATGGAGTAGAAGAAATTGACTTAAACCATATCATACAGTTATTCCCAAATGATGTCTCCTCCATTACTATAAAAAGGAAAGTCCAGTTTAAAATGTCAAACACATTCCCTGCATCTAAGAAAATAAGTGTGGCTTGCTTCTTGTTAAGAGTAGACTATCAGTTACCAGCACCCATCGGGATTGGTAAATGCTGGATAGATGTAGTTTCTGGTTGCTTGAGAGCTGCTGCTACTACTACTACTAAAAATAGGCCTAACTAATACAATCCCCCATACTATACCAAACCATAAACTTTGTATTGACTTTGTACTAATATAGAAATATAATAATTAAAAGCAAGTAATGATAAATAAAGACAAATTTAATATAATGGAACACGGTTTTACTGTATTATAAAAACAGTTTTGTGAATGCAGTATGCAACTTTCGTTAACTATTTTTGCCAGCTGCTTGAGAATTCTGGTTGCTTGAATTAACTAATAGTCTACTGTATTTCCTGTAAGTACACCCAAACATTTAATACATTTCTGATATTGTCTTTCAATTAACTCTTTTGTAAAAATCTGCACTGATCTCCATAGAAAAAATCCTGAAGAATAATTTTCAATCTACCTAAATTATTGTAAATAGTTTATAATCATTACAATCATTATTCGACAGTGATAACTGTTGTATTTGTAAGAGTCAAATGTTGGTCTCATTTGAGAAATAGGTTACATTAGCCTCTTTATAACTGTCAGCTCATTATCTGTTGTAGTGGGTTTAAGAGCTCTTAAAATATTGAAAACGTAACAGAGGTAGTGTGCTGTATTGATGTCATGCAATCAAAAGCCATTGACTGCCTCAAATATATTAAACATCTATATAAGGTAACATGTAGAAACAAGATATGAATATAAACAATGTATGAATAAGTCAGATTCTTGAAGAACGAGCAGGGTTCAAAAAAGACAAACCTGAGTAGAGACATTCCATGAAATGGTTAAAAACTACAAACAATGACACTCACCACCAAATACATCTCCATTCTGGTAGTTTTTCCCCTTCTGAGCTTCCTCTTCATTTTGTACAGCAGAAACATGCTTGGCTGATGCACAGCCCATACTTTCATTTAGTCAGCTCCAGCTTGACTGAGCCGCAAACCATTTCTACAGACTTGCAAACATGGTCTCTTCCCTTTTTAAAAAGAAATAATCCACCTTCCAATCTTGTTGTCCAGATACGTTTCTTCTAGCCTGTTGATATAGTACAAGAGAAAATGAAAAGTCAATAGGTGTGTAAGTCAAATCACTATCACAAATGCTCTCTAAATGATATATCTGGAAAGAGCAAGCAGTCAAGAACTGCCTTTACATATAAGATCTCTTTCCCATTACATAATGACAGCATCTTGATATCATTTCAGGTTCCATGGGTGCATCCTGCAGAATTCCAGGATATGTAGTTTGGTGAGACATTTGAAATTTCTGCCAAATTATCAAACTTTTGAACTCTGGGTGATTTCTAACAAATCTGTCTATATAGAATTCTCTTTGTGTTCTTGACTTGTTTGAACATACTTCAACTTTGTACAGTTTTTTTTAGTCTTTGAAAAGCTTGCTGTTTATCACAGCAGTAATTACCATCCTGAGGTTTATTATCATACTTGTTCTTAGAACGGCCGTGTGAGTTCCAAGAACGAAATAATAGCGGGAAAGGTTCTTTAATTATAACATGGTACAACAAACTCTGCAATCCTGAATGGACAACTTTCCTGTTATCATCATCCTTGCAAAATCAAAGGAAGAAATAGATATATTCTAGCATGTTCTCTCAGTTCACAGAGAATGAGGGAAATGTCTTTGGGGACTAGTCACTTCTTCATAGGAAAATGTGTAGGATAATATCCTAGAAAGTCTCCCAAAATCTTCTGCAAGGGTTTTGTGGCTCTCTGGTGGTAAATTTAGAATGGATTTTTCTAAAACTATAACTTTAAAAAAGTAGTGCTATGATGGATTTTCATAGCAGCGTATACAGAAACGAGTAGAATAAAAACTATGAGTCTGCATGACAACAATTCCAAAGCATAAACGCAGGCAAATAAAGGCATTATTTTTCAGTGAAGCAGCATTAAACAGAAGCAATGCATTTGCTAAATAAGTCACTGTTTCAATAATTGATTCTCCTTTCCAATTCCCTGTTCACTTCTCTGTGCTGTTCTGAAATACCATCTGGTTTCTAAGAAGCCATTTTTACATCAAAATAAACCAAGGAGTGGGAGAGAGATTCTCAAACCCTCATTTAACTTAAACACTAGCTTTGCACTTTTGTAACTAGGCACTTAGTAAGTAGGTGTTACGAACAGCCATGAAATAAATATAGATCAAATAAAATGTTGAATTACATAGGTCATTCTTTAAACAAGTGGCCAATTGATTTTTTTATTTCTATCATTCATGACTAGCAGCATTTTTCTTTTCTTATTGTTGTAGGCGTAAAACTTCGATAGAAATCTCTACCACCAGCGCTATGATGTGAAATTAAAGGAAAACAAACGTTTCCACTATATGCATTCTTGATAAGAAACGGCATTCTCTAAATATCAGACAGCTGCTAATTACCAGTTTTTTTTAATAACCATATTTGTTTTAACAGAAGCAAAGAAGCAATCTTACTGAAGAAGGATCACCACAATGAGGACTACAACCATCTTTAGAAAGAAAGAAAGAAAGAAAGAAAGAAAGAAAGAAAGAAAGAAGGAAGGAAGAATGGGAATATTGCAAGAGGATGCAAGCATTCCATCATATAACATATGGTGTTTGCTGTTCTCAAATATAATTTAATAGATTTCTTTCTCAACACAGATACCAACAAGCTAAACAACTGCCAACTGCTCCAACAACCACCCCATAAATTCCATGTCCAAGAAGGGATTTGAATAATCACCTTATTCCAAGCCAAGGATCCTATTCACTATACCACACTGCTGAACACCAATCCTTAAGAGCAGAGGTTCTTTTAGTGTGCTCCACAGAGCCCTTGGGGTTCTGGGAAGCATATTGAGGGGCTCCGTATTTTCCTCCCTCTCCAAGTGCGTATCTCCTTTTTCCTGTTCCTCCTCCTCCAAGCTCACACAGCAGCTTTCCCGTTGCTAGCAAGGGAGGGAATGAATGTAGCCCCAGAAAGGAAGGCCTTGCACAAAAGGAGGAAGGCCCTGCTGGTGGAAAGCAAGGCCTCGCTCTGGGCTCTGTGGCCGAGCCTCCTTCCCACTCCCACCAGCAGCCACAGCAGCATTCTCTCCCATGCCTTCCTTGCTTCCAGAACCCCATTTCCCTCCCACAACTCTGGAGGCGCTTTGATTGTGCTTTTACTGCATGGAACAAGGGGGTTGGACTGGATGGCCACTGAGTTTGCTCCTATTACCACTACTATCATCATCATCATCATCATCATCATCATCATCACTACTACAAAGGATGGATTAGATGGCCCTCTGTTGGAGGAGGCTTGAATGTGCTTTTACTGGAAGTTTATGTATGTTGAAATTGTTCTTCATTTTAAACGTTGTATTGTTCTTACCTTTCTTTTCTTTTTCCTTTTGCACTGCAAAAATTGCAAGGGAATTAATTTGTGTCTCCCCCCCCCCCCCAAATTAGTACCATCTGTCACTGGCCAAGCCCCTCTGTCAAATTTTAAAATGCAATGCATCAAAAAGTTTGGCCATGCTTGATATATATACATTATATATAATACAAAAACATTTATTAGGGCTCCACGAGAAACCTTTGCTTCTAGCAGTGGTCTGCAAAACCCCTTTTTAAGAGCATTAAAGGAAAAACCACCTATACTATTTTCTCTGTCCTGTACATGTTCTCTTTCTCATCCACTCTCTCATTCACACACCCTTGTTCAAGTAATGTATGGCCCATAAAGAGAAGACATTTTAAAACTACAATCTTTATATTGCTGTAGTTTACAAAGACTGAATACCTAGAAGCAATACTTCCTCAGAGGAGCGTAGATGAATAAGTAATTACAAGCCTTGTGTATTTTCTCTTGTATTGTGGTCTGCTTTTGTTTTGTTTTAGATTTTATATCTATGGGCTGGACCGTTTTTTTTCCAGAATAATGGTGAATCTTTCTGGATGAAGTGTCTGAGGCAAAAGTGTATTAAATATACACATGCTTCCTTCTGATGGTGTCACCCTCCAATAAAGTCCCCTCCCAAACAATACTGTGATTTAATAATTTACATTATTTATTATTATAATATTATTGTATGAGTTTATATCCTGCTTTCTCTCTCCTGAAGGAGACTTAAAGTGGCTTGACATAAAAGCATTAGTATACAATTTAAAATATACAAATATGCAAACTTTAAAACACAGACAATACTTAAAAAATCAGTTTAAATCCATCAAAACATATTCAAAATTAAAAATCACAGCCCCCTGACTTGATCTTAAAAATCTTCTTCTTTAAAAGCCTGGGCTCCAGCTTCAGTGCCAAGTCCAGGACCTCCAAACTGTGGACCTGTGCCTTCAGGGGAAGTGTAACCCCATCCGGCACAAGCTGGATCCCTATTTCCTATTCTACCTTCTGACTAACCAGGAGTACCTCTATCTTGTCTGGATTAAGTTTCAATTTGTTTGCTCTCATCCAATCCATTACTGATGACAGGCACTGGTTTAGGGTCAGGACAGTTTCCTTGGCTTTAAGTGGAAATGAGTAGCAGAGTTGGGTGTCATCTGCATATAGGTGGCATCAAACTAGAAAATGAACTAGATTTTTTTTCATTAGTGGAACAGTGTGGCATTGTTTGAAAAAGCCCATCCTGGGTTTTTTTCCTTATTAATATATATTAAACAAATGAATATATCAATGCTACTGGCAGAAAACAATAACTGTGTAAAATGCAATTTCATTTCTTAAACAAGTACTCTCAAAACAAGTATGAAGGTAAAATTGAAGTGGTAAAGTGTGTAGGTTGTTAAGGGCACCCAGAAAGCAAAAACGAACCATTTAAAACTCAAATATACATTTTGCTTAATGAAATGACCACTCTCTGTAATCCATCAGACATCAACGACTGCTTGCTTTCAGCATTTATTAAAACAAAAGAATTTACCTGTTTATCCTGGCTTTCCCAAACCATTAACTGATTAGACTGTTTCAAGCCTTGTCTTACAGGGGATTAATCTGTAATATTATTGTGTTTTTATGGTATTATAAACTGTTTCTGCATTTTGAAAAAGGAGGCAACATAGTACTTGCCATGCTAGTTTTGGATAAGTGGCTTTGCTTGGCCTACAGTAAATGCAGATACTACATTTGGAAAGGAGAAGATCACAACTTTACGGGTCTTTCCAGAAGCCCACCAAAAGTACATGGGCCAAGGGTTGGGGCAGGGGGAGCAGGGACATCTCTGGGGAGAATGCACTGGAGGAACATCAAAGGAAGAGGAATCAGATTCAGGATCTTCTGATGAAGAGGTTTATAGAGTGAATGACTCAAGATGGCAAGAAGGAACTCTGAAAGATCTAAATTATGCACTGCATGGGTGAAAATAACATGTTTGTGAGGTCACAAAGGACCATGAAGAAAAATCTAATCTTCATTTGCAAATACTGACCTTAAACCTCTATGATTTTTAAAAAAAATCTATGAAATTGCAACCTAAATATTTTGTCATAAAACATGCAAATCAAGGTTTCTATTTCTCACTTCTTTACTAAATTACTTCCATTTCCCATATATAGAGACCATGAACCAATGAGTAAAATGAATCAATTCAGCTTCTTCACAAAGCATATCATACAATTCAACAAAACCTAAGGCAGCTATTTTTTCTGCCTGTGATGCAGGTTCATAACAAATACTACCAAATACCCCAGCCATGCTTTGAAGAGCATATATTCAAAACAAGATGCATCTACTCTGTCAGCACAGTCCACAATAACAGTTCATTAATGTAATAATCAATACAAGCACCGATTTTCCAATCTATTTACTGCTCTTTGTCAAAACAAATATACATATCAATATGTTAATAATCTCATGGTAATTTTTTTACTTTATAAAAGCAAGGGCTTCCATTACATGTTTTGATAATTTACATCTATAATATAATTTAACCATGTCTTGATGAGTCCAGGTAGTGTAAAACTTACACAACAATGACAACATAAAGGGCATAGAAAGGAAGGATGTCACCACCACAGTAAACATCACTAGAAAGATGTAAATAAATTTTACA